TAAAACTGGTGTCACAGACAGGGAAACCCCTGGGGATGGGGCAGGAAAATCCAGCCTGGAATTTGCACCACTGATCAGGAGCAAACCTGAATTTGCACCACCTCCAAAGCCACGGCAGGGGGACTTTGCTTTTTATCCTCCAAAACGTGGCCACAAATCCCATTAATGGCCAGCAAAACCCTTGTTGCTCTCCTCTCCCAAATCTTCATCCTGCCATGATTTGTTTTCCCATCTCCTGAATTAAACCAGCCCTAAAAGGGGGGTTTAAGTCCAGCTCAGTGATATTTCTCTCAAATCCCTGAATTTCTTTCACCTTCTGTAATTTTTCCCCCATTTTCACAAACCCTCTTTGTTGCTGTCCCACCTCCTGAATTAAACCAGCACTAAAGGTGGGATTCTAAGATCAGCTCACTGATGCTTCTCTCAAATTCCTGAATTTTTTTCACTTTTTGGGATTCTTGCCCCAAACCCACCTGTGTTTGCAGAGACAAAGCACAAACCCTGCAAAAATCAACCAAACCCTGTTTTTGTCCCACCTCCTGAATTAATCCAGCACTAAAGGTGGGATTCTAAGCCCAGCTCACTGATACTTCTCTCAAATCCCTGAATTTCTTTCACCTTTTGGGATTCTTGCCCCAAACCCACCTGTGTTTGCAGAGACAAAGCACAAACCCTGCAATAATCAACCAAACCCTGTTTTTGTCCCACCTCCTGAATTAAACCAGCCCAAAAGGGGGGAATTTTAAGCTCAGCTCATGGATACTTCTCTCAAATCCCCAAATGTCTTTCACCTTTTGGAATTTTGGCCCCAAACCCACCTGTGTTTGTAGAGATAAAGCACAAACCCTGCAATAATCAGGGCGATGAAAGGCACAAGGATGGCGGCTGCCACTGAGCTGCTGTTGGATGCAAAGTGGTGGCCTATGGATTCGGGGTCGTTTTCCATCATGCTGATGTCTGGAACACAGCAAAAAGGAACAAATTTCCCACATTCCCCAACTCCCAGCTGAGGGAAAAGGGTTTGGCTCGAGGTACAGCTGGCACCAGCAACAAAATGAGCAAAGCGGTGCTGGAAAAGGGAATTTAAAAATGGATGTGCAAGGATGGAGATCAACCCTAACTTAGGCCTCATCATTTATTTAGAGTTGTGATTAAAGAGAGGTATAAATTGATTTATTTTGCTGAACAGGTCCAGCCTGGATGCATGAAGTTGGGCTTTAAGGAGACTCTGAGACGCTGCAATAACGAGCAGCCATAAAGGTGACGAGATTCCAGAAATCCTGAGGGATTAAAGAGCTCAAACCACGCTTTAAGAGGTATTTAGGAGCTTAAACTTTGGGTTGTTTAAGCTCCCAAGAGCCTCTGTGATTTCTGATGGAGACACTTTCTCTGGTGGGAATGGGATTTGGGCTTGGCAGGGATCTGGGAATTTGGGAAAAAACATGTCCAGGTGTTGTTTGTGCTTCCAAACTCTCCCTGCCTTTGGACAGCAGCCTGGTTATCCCTCACGTTGTTCCCAAATGATCAATTTTATCCTTGTGCTGTTTGTTTTGTGCTGTTTGTCTCCCACAAGCCTCACACCAAGCTCAGCAGAACTCGGAAAGTGCGGAAAATTCAAACCAGGGATTGGAGAAACATTCCCTGCCTGGAAACCCCCACCAGGCCAAAATGGAGCTTTTGGAATTGAGGGGGAAAATGCAAATCCAAGGAATTTTACCAAGTCTCTGGAGGCCAAACTGCCCGAAGCCTTTGCCACGCACAAAGCCCTGGTACACGAAGGTGCCGCTCGAGGACTCCGACGAGACCTGCGGGGAGTGGAAACCAACGGATTGATCCAACATTTCCCTGGATTTAACACCCAGCCCCTTCCAAGTGCATTCATTTCATGCAATTCCCCAGAAGATCCTGGCATTTTTTAACGAGTTTCACTGCCCGACAGCTGAAAATTCTCCATTCTCAAAAGAAGGGAAGCTAAAAATCTTTTTTGTTGTAAACCGGAGAGGACATTGCTGATTCCAGAGGGAGAGGGAAAAGTGGCCATGGACCAATTGGATCCACAATTTTTCTAAGCTCCATTGGATCCCTGAAGGGCTTGGGGAACTCCCAGACACGGGCAGAGGGTGAGGAGTTGGCTCCAGTAGGGAAAAATCAGCTTTTCCAGCAAGATGTTGAGCAGATACAAAACATCCACGTGCAACGAATCCCGTTGGTTTCTCCTCCAGCATTACCTGGGAGATGATGGATTCCAAACCCCAGGGAAATCAAATCAACCCCCAGCTGCAGGAGGAGCTGTCACCTGCTGGGGAAGGGCCACATGTCCCCTCCCAGCTCTGGGAATGATCCCTCAGCTCCAAGGAAGGGAAATCCAGCCACGGGTGGGTGGATTTTGTGCACTCACGTGTCCATCCAGAGCCCACTTGTCATTCCTGAACTTGTTGGCAAAGCTCTCCAGCGGCCCCATGATCTGGTACACCTGGAGCAGCAGATGCACGTCTTCTTTCTTGTAAATCCCTGGAAAAGAAGGGATTTTGTCGGCTCTGGATCACTCTGGTTTGAAATGACTGAGTGGGAGGGCACGGAAACCACGTCAGGATTTGAGTGGACATCAGCTCTGTCATTGGAATTCACGGAAACACAGCCCAGGATATTGAAGGGATTTTCCACATGGGAAACGAGTCAATATTTAATTAATAATCAGGTTCTTCTGCTGGATCAGGACGAGCCTGGTGCTCCAGGAGGGCAGAGACATGGAGCCCTCATGGAATCAGGAACCCCCAAGGATCATCAAAGTCCAGCCCACATAATTTCATGTCTTTTTGCCCAAAGCTCCAAGTCCTTCCTTGGACACCTCCAGGGATGGGCACTCCAAACCTCCATGGGCAGTTCCAAGGCCTGACCACCCTTTCCATGGAGAAATGTTCCCTAAAATCCAACCTGGCACAGATTGAGGCTGTGTGCTCTCATCCTGGGAGCAGAGCCTGACCCACCCTTGCTGCCCCCTGAGCCTCCTTTTCTCCATCAGGAGTTCTCCAGACCCTTCTCCAGCTCCATTCCCTTCTCTGGACACGCTTCAGCCCCTCAGTGTCTCTCTGGCCATGAGTGACCAGAACTGGACACAGCCCTAGAGGTGTCCCAGTGTCATAGAAAAGTAGAAAAATTAAACAAGAAAGGCCTCATAAAATCGGGCCTAAATTAATAGCTGCAAGTTCCCATGAGAAAACAATCTTGGTATGAAAGATTTGTTAAAATGCCAAGAGTGAAAAATAAGTGCACCACTATAAACAATAAGATCTGTCTCAAGAGAATGAGTAGAAAAAATACATGGAGTTACTAAAAATACAGAAGTTTGACAAGATATGCAAAATACCACTGACTGACCAATAAACTAAGTGTGAATGCACTGTCCACCAGTAAGATCTGACACGGGACCTTCTGATAATCCTACAAAACACGACCTGCACCATCAAGAATTGGATTTCACCACAAGATCCCGGCTGTGCCAGCACAGGGGACATTGGCAGTGCCAATGCCAACCCCTCCTGAGGCCACGGCGTGTCCCTCACCCGACACCTGGAGCTCCACCCCGCTGTGGTCGATCAAGGTGGCGTTGACCTTGCTGGTGGCAGGGTCAAAGCTGGTGACAGAGAGCATGGCTGGCTGCTTCTTCCCCATGTACTCGTAGGAGCCTTTCCACAGGGAGTTCCTTGCGAACACATCCGCAGGCACTGGAATTACAGTGGGAGATGCATTAAAAAAAAAAACCAAACCAGCAGCGTTTCCATTTTATCAGGAAAAAAAAAAATAGAGCAGGATTTCTGTCTTTCTTTGAATTCACTGACTGTGGAACTCAGATTCAGTCAAAGAGAGAAATGAGATTTTCTAGCCAGGCAGAAGCCTGGGAAAGAGCTGGAGAAGAATGTCAATAATTCTTTATCTCTCTTGTTTTTCACATTGTTTATAGTTAAGTTCTATCAGTGTGTGTCAAGCACTGTACACCAATGGGTTGAGTTGTTTTCACTTCAGGACCAATGGAGTTGGTCCTCACAGAACTCTATATAAAAGAGCAGGGTATTGTGAATAAACCAGAGTTTTACTCTCAGGTTTTTTTCCATTGGTCCAATGGAGTTGGTCCTCACAGAGCTCTGTATAAAAGAGCAGGGTATTTTGAATAAACCAGAGTTTTACTCTCAGTTTTTTTTCCATTGGTCCTCACAAAGCTCTGTATAAAAGAGCGATGTATTTTAAATAAACTGTAGTTCTACTCTCAGCAGCCTTCTGATCAGTCTTCCCATGCCCATCCTGCCTCGACAGCAACAATTGAAATAATGAAATTGTTTTAAATTAGTATTTTTGAAAGGTTTTTTTAAGTATCTTAAATCCCACCCGCTCTGTGCCATCGCCACAGGGGACAAAGCCAAAACTTTAACTCGCATGTTGCGACCAAAAACGCAAGGAAAGTTTTTAAAACAAACCAACTCCCAAAATAATTTATTAGGAAGAGTTAACTTCAAATAAAAAAGGTCAAATGTACAAAATCCTGGAAGGGAATGCTCTGGGGAGGGCAGTGGGTGTTGATGTCCAGCTCTGTCGCTATTGGTCACGAAATGAGTACACAGAAGCTTGGTGTGATCGAAAGAGAAAAAAACTCCAGTTTTATTCAAACATCTGGTATTCCTAGAATTCCAAAGGTGACCGTGGATGGGAGGATGGAATTACCACCTCTCCAACCACACTGCTCCAAGGACCAATCAATCATTTCTCTCCACCCACAGAGAAATATGTAAATATTCTATTTATCCACGAAATTGTGTGGGAACTCTGACTCTCAAACACGTAAACATGATCAGAAGGCTAGAGAAGTTTCATGAGAACTTTAAAACTTTCAAAATAACTATAAAAGAAAACGGAACACTTGAAAATCAGAGCAACACAGTTCGTGATTGTTCTCCAGGGAATAGGATGAGGCATGTGGCAGCTTCCGGAGGAAGGAATTCGGGAGGGTGGATTTGAGGGGGTGGCAGGGATGTGATTGTGGGGATGAGCTCCCCTGGAATTTGGGAGAGTGGATTTGAGGGGGAAGCAGGGATGTGACTGTGGGAATGAGCCCCCAGGAATTCGGGAGGGTGGATTTGAGGGGCTGGCAGGGATGTGATTGTGGGGATGAGCCCCCAGGAATTCCAGAGGGTGGATTTGAGGGCTGGAGGGATGTGTCCATGGGGATGAGCCCCCAGGAATTCCAGAGGGTGGATTTGAGGGCTGGCAGGGATGTGTCCATGGGGAGGAGCCCCCAGGAATTCCAGAGGGTGGATTTGAGGGGCTGGCAGGGATGTGACTGTGGGAATGAGCCCCCAGGAATTCCAGAAGGTGGATTTGAGGGGTGGCAGGGATGTGTCCATGGGATGAGCCCCCCAGGAATTCCAGAGGGTGGATTTGAGGGCTGGCAGGGACAAACCCCTGAAGCCTCACCTGAGACCTTGGCGAGCGGCGGCTCCCGCGCGGTGCCCACGGGCCTCCCGCTGGGACGGACGTCGGCTGGGACGGGGGGCAAAGCACAGCTGGTCAGTATTGTGGGGTCTCCCAGAATTCCTGAGGCTGGAAAAACCCTCCAAGGTCACAGAGTCCCAGCTGTGCCCGATCCCCACCTTGTCACCCAGCCCAGAGCTCTGGGTGCCACCTCCAGCCCTTCCTTGGGCACTCCAAACCTCTCTGGGCAGCCCCTGCCAAGGCCTGAGCACCTTTTCCATGGAGAAATGTTCCCTAAAATCCAATTTAAACCTCTCCTGGCTCAACTGGAGGCCGATCCCTCTCCTCCTGTCCCTGTCCCTGGAGTAGAGCCCAATCCCCCTGGCTGTCCCCTCCTGTCAGGAGCTGTGCAGAGCCACAAGGTCCCCCCTGAGCCTCCTTTTCTCCAGGCTGAGCTCCCTCAGCTCCAGCAGGAGTTTTCCAGCTCCTTCCCCTTCCCTGGACACGCTCCAGCCCCTCCATGTCTCAGTGGAGGAGCTCAGAACTGGACACAGCACTCGAGGTGTCCCTCACAGTGCCAGGACTGGGGACAATCCCCTCCCTGCTCCTGCTGGTCCATCCCTGACCCAGCCAGGTGCTGCCTGGGCACACCTGGCTCACGTCCAGCTGCTGTCCCTCCGCACCCCCAGGTCCCTCTCTGCCTTTCAGCCGCTGTCCCCAGCCCGTCCTGCCTTTCCCTCTGCTCCAGTCCAGAGTGACCCCGCTCCAGGAGAGCCACAGGGCTCCATTTCAGTGGATCAGAACATGCTCCTCATCCAAGACTCTGTGGCAGGTAAAACGTGGGGAAGATAAATAATTTTTGTCCTGTGCGGGTGGTTCTAGACCCCAAAATTCCCCAGAGGATCCCCAGGCGACTCTTGAAGGAAAGACTGGAGGTGGCACTTGAGTGTTGGGTCACAGGTTGGACTTGATGACCTCAAAGGCCTTTTCCAACCTAATGCTGGGATTCTGCTGTGGAGACCAACAGTGGAGACCCTCCCACCTAGTGAAAATCAGGCTGGGCCACAACTTTCAATGGAGAAAAGTCACAGCTGAAAACACCTCCCTCACACCTTCCTCCTTCCTTGGAGTTCTGACTCCAAAACTGATCCTTGGGTTCACCTGCAGTTTGAAAACCACCTTTGAAGGACCTCAAGGCCCAGGATCTCTCCAACCTGAGCGCCTGGGGAGAGTCTCAGAGCCCAGCTGGTCCCGCCAGCCCCTCACCCATGCAGATGGGGGGTTTCCCTGTCCAGCTGCCGTCGGCTTTGCAGGTGCGGTGCTCGGAGCCCCCGGTGAGGTAGAAGCCGCTCTGGCAGGAGTAGATCAAGGTGTAGCCCAGGGAGGGCAGGTCCAGGGCGCCCACATTGGCGTGGGATGGGGTCTCGGGCTGCTTGCAGTGGTGGGCTGGAGGGGACAGGGAAAACAGGTGAGAGAAACCACCCAGGTGGGCACGGGGAGGGTGAAAAGCGACACCGTGACGTCGACAGGGGAACCCTCCTGGAGGAGCTTCTGCAGCACGGCTCCCAGGGATTTCTCCCAGTTGGAGGAATCAATGAGGAGCTTCCCATGCTGGGTTTCTGTTCCTGGCTGAAGCTTGATGGAGCTCCAGCTTGATGAGCTGAAAATCAGGATTGGCCACCCCTATTTTTAAGGGAAAAAGACAAAGCCAAAGGATGCTGAAGCACCTCTGAACCCAGGAGTGAGTGCCGTGTGTTGGTGCAGCCTAAAAACTGTCTTTGCAATCCCCAAATCCAACACATTTCCCCCAAGAATTCCTTTTCCAGAGCCCGTCTGAGGGCCCCAGCTCCCCGTGGTGTTGCCAGGACTCACGGACGCAGTCGGGCTGGACGCCGCTCCAGGTGAGGTTGGGCAGGCAGGTCCTGGTGGTGGAGCCCTGCAGGAGGTATCCCTTCTGGCACCTGAAGAACAGGATGCTTCCCACCTGTCCCAGGAGGAGACAATCACTCAGCTTCCCAGGGATTCCGAGGCCTTCATCCCATGCAATTCCAAAGGGGCCATCCCCTTGTCACCACCTCATCCCTCACGGGAGCGGCTCCACTCCCAGCTGAGCAAAAATCCCACTTATGGTGTCTCCAAATTAGTTAAACCTAAAATTAATTAATTAAACCCCAAGATGAAGGTAACTAATTAGCAGGTAAACGGAAGGATCCACTCTGGCATCCACTATCCCAGCAGGGAATGGGTGGGAATGGAGCCCCCCAGGGAGTGACTGTGGGATTTTTGTCCCCATTCCAATGATTTCCTGCTGGATGAGAGCTGGGATTAGCAAAAGCACCTGCAGGATTTGGCCTGAAAATGAACGGGAATTAATGTGAATAGCAGCAACTATTAATTATCACTGTAATTAATTTCAGATACAATGCACTGCCTAATTAATGCTGTGCAAACACACTCGGGGGGCTAATGGAGCACACTGGGGTGTCCTGCTCCCAGGAGGAGACAGGAATCCATGGAAGGACACATGAATCCATGGGAAAATGCAAGAATCCATGGAAGAAGGACACAAGAATCCATGAGAAGAGACATTAATGCATGAGGGGAGACTGGAATCCAAGGGAGAACATGTGGATCCATGGGAGGAGACATGAATCCATGGGATAACACATGAATCCCATGGGATAACACTTGAATCCATGAGAGGACACATGAATCCATGGGATAACGCATGAATCCATGGGAGGAGACATGAATCCCATGGGAGGACACATGAATCCATGGGACGACATGTGAATCCACAGGATAACATGTGAATCCATGACAGGAGGCATTAACTCATGGAAGGACACATGAATCCATGAGAGGACACATGAATCCATGGAAGGACACATGAATCCATGGGAGAACACAATAATCCATGGAAGGACACAATAATTCATGAGAGGAAACATGAATCCATGGAAGGACACATGAATCCATGGGAGGACACATGAATCCATGAGAGGACACATGAATCCATGGAAGGACACAACAATCCATGAAATGAAACACGAATCCATGGGAGGACACATGAATCCATGGGAGAACACAATAATCCATGGAAGGACACAATAATTCATGAGAGGAAACACGAATCCATGGGAGGAAACACGAATCCATGGAACGACACACACATCCATGGGAGGACACGTGAATAATCCATGGGATAGCACATGAGTCCATGGGAGAACATGTGAAAGGCTGGTTCTGTGGTGCACCCCTCTTCCATGGCCATACCTGGTATCCCTGGGAATTGTTCTGCATCCCAAAAAGAGGCACTCCAGGATCTGCACACGTTGTGAGGCTGGGATCTGTTAAAAACAGGGACAGGGATTTACGGGAGGGCCCAGACCCCTCCAGGCACACGGATCCTGCTGCACCTCTGGAACGCAGGCGGGATGTGGCTCCGAAGGAACACACAGAGACAAGGAAAACACGAGGATCTTCTTGTTCTTAAATCCCTGCCTGCTGCAGCACAAACCAACCAGAGGCACTTCATCCCTCAGGAGAAAAACTGGGAATGCACACTTTGGATCAGGACAGCTCTTCCCCACATCCATCCTCTGCTTCCCAAGGACCATCCCAAGCTCCAAGCAGCACGGCGATCCCATCCTCCTCCCTGTCCCCTCCAAGGAGCACGGGGGTGGGATTGGAAGCGAAGTGAGCCCCAAATCCTGCAGCTGGGCCCCCCTTACCGATGCAGCTGGGCTGGGTCCCGCTCCAGGTGCCGTCGGACTGGCAGAACCTCCGCGCCGACCCCACCAGCACCAGCGGGGCCAGGCAGGAGAAGGACACGGACGAGCGGTAGGTGAAGCCTCGGTCCTCCCGCCTGCCCTGGGCCGGGGTCCCCGGGTCCCCACAGAACACGGCTGCAACAGCAAAGGGACGAGGATGTGACCACAGAGCCCTCGGGAATGTCACATCCCATCCTGGGCTACCACCGCCCATCCCACGCCGTGAATAACTCGGGAATCAGGGGTGGCAGAAGGCATTGCTGGCTGCAATCCTTGCAATTATCTCCTTTTGTCAATGGCTGGTAATTAACTTCCACCTTCTCCCCCGGATTTGCCTTTTTTCCCCTAATTGCACGGTGTCACTTTGTTCCTTGGCTCTGTGTCACAGGAAAGCCGGCTAATTATCCCAGATCCAGGGAAAAGTGCGAGGAACGGTGAGGGGTTTGTGGGATTTAATATGAAAATGGATATTGTGCAGCTGGAAAAGGAACTCAGAGCTGCCTTTAGCATCAGGAGATGTTTAACTCCCTTTTATTTTTCTGGTGTTTGCTGTTGTATCAAACCCACCCAGCCTTCACAAAACATTCCCAACTTCTGCTGCAACATGGTGCTCTTTGCTAAAGGATTTTTTGGCAGAAGATTGGGTCGCTGAGGGCAAACATCCCGTTTTGAGGATGTTTTGTGGGCAGGAACATGGAAAATGCCAAGATTCCTCCCAAATGTGGCCTCACCCCGCTGTCACAGGGATAGAGTGACCAACAGTGTCCCTGGAGTGACCACCTGTGTCCCTGTGTCCTCAAACCAAGGCTCCCAAAAGACCAAGCCACATGGGAGGTGGCAGAGCAGCCAGACTTTGGCTCCAGAGTCCTGAAGCATCACCATGGCACCAAAAATTCCCACTCCAGCTGACGGAAAACTCCATTAAGGAACAGGACAGGAAGCACAGCAAGATCCCCCTAACCCCTGAGCTGCCAAACCGGTGACACTGATCTTGGAAAAAAGTTGGGAAAAGCCCCAAAACCCTGGATTTGAAGCCGAATCCTGCTGATTGCTGGTGGGAAAGAGGGAAGCTGCCTACTCACGGAAGCACTGGGGGATCTCCCCGCTCCAGGAGCCGTTGCCCTCGCAGGTGAGCACGGCGGGCAGGGACAGCTGGTAGCCCTCGAGGCAGGCGTAGCTGATGCTGGAACCCCAGCTGAAATCTGATCCCACCACCTTCCCGTTGGGAATGGCCTGGGGAGCCCTGCAGGTGATGGCTGGAGGAGAAGGAGAAAGGAGAAGGATAAAGAGGTGGAGGAGAAAGAGGAGGAGAAAAAGCACAAGGAGAAGGAAGAGAAGGAGGAGAAGGAGAAGGAGGAGAAGGAGAAGGAGAATGAGGAGAAGGAGGAGAAAAAGGAGAAGAAAAAGGAGAAGAAAAAGGAGCAGAAAAGGAGAAGAAAAAGGAGAAGAAAAAGGAGAAGGAGGAAAAGGAAAAGGAGAAGAAGAAGGAGGAAAAGAAAAAGGAAAAGGAAAAGGAAAAGGAAAAGGAAAAGGAAAAGGAGGAAAAGGAAAAGGAGAAAGAGGAAAAAGAAAAAGGAGAAGGAGGAGAAAGAGAAGGAAGAAGAGGAGAGGAAAAGGAGAAGGAGAAGGAGAAGGAGAAGGAGAAGGAAAAGGGAAAAGTCAGGTCTCTCCACTTAATTATTTCCATTAACAAGCAAATTCCACCTAGGAGTGAAGTCACCTCCTGCTCTCCAAGAGCATCTCCCAGGACTGGCACAAAGTGGGGCTAAACCCTTCAAAGTTTGGAGTTCAATCCCAAATCATGAAATATCCCATGGGAAGGGATCCATGAGGATCATCCAGTCCAACCCCTGGCCCTGCACAGACACCCCAAAATCCCACCCTGTGCATCCCTGAGAACGTTGTCCAAATATTCCTTGAGAACCTGGGGCTGTGCCCATTCCCTGGGGAGCCTGCTCAGTGCCCACCACCCTCTGGAGGAAGAACTTTCTCCTCAACATCTCTACAAATCCCATGTTGAAGTCAATGCTCGTTCTCAGCTGAAGGTAAAAATCTGCCCTGACGTGGCGTGAAAGCTCATCCCAGATTTCCCCGAAGATTCACACATTTTGGACAACCTGGCTGAGGCTCAGACGAGCAGTTGGAGGCACAACCTGTCGGGTTTTCACCCACTCTGGGGCGTTTGGAGATGACATTTTTGCAGCTCAGAGGAGCTAAACCTGTGCCTCCGAATGAGACTCTTGGCCACGCCGTGGATCATTTCTGCAGCATTTGCTCAGTGCAGAGAATGAAAAAGGAGAGGAAGAATTGCTCTTTACAGCCTCTGAAGGAGCTGGAGTGCATTTCAGGGCTTTTATGTGGCCTGTTTTTGTATCAGCTCAGTGACAGGTGAGTTTTACAGATTTTAAAGGAATGCAGAGATGCTGCCACATATTTTATCTGCGCTGGGGGTGAGGAAAAGAGATCCAGCCTGCCCAGCCACTGCTTTCCTATTTCCCTTTTCTATCTCTGAACCACAGGAGTCATCTCAGAATAATGAAAAGCCTCGCAGGGAACATTTTTCAGATGTTCCTGGGCGATGCCAGCACAGCGCCTGCTGGAAAAACACAATATTTTATCTGAGCTTGATCCGAGTTTTTGTGCAAAATCACTTTACTCCCTGGGCTTTGAAGGAGAAGAGCAACTCCCTCCCTCCCAGGCACAGACTGATAGCCCTGAAGACAGCAAGGTGCTGCCTGACAAATGCCAAACTTTTTGTGGAATGAGGGAGCTGAGGAACGCCCAGCCAGGCTTCCAGGGAAACTCTGGAAGTTGTCTCCTGCAGCACCTGCAGGGTTCCTACCCTTGCAGACGGGTTTGGTGCCGTTCCAGGTGCGGTCCTTGGTGCAGGTGAGGGCAGCTGCTCTGTCTGACTCCATCATGAAGCCAGGAGTGCACTGGAACACCACGGATTTGTTGTAGGTGAAGTCGCTGCCCAGCCTGAGCCCGTTGGCCGGCACGCCGGGGTCGCCACAGTTGATCACTGCCAAGGAAAGGGGAAAAATGAGAATTTCCGGCAGCTGGAACCACACCTGTGACTGTTCTGAGTGTTTTTCCAGGTGGAGTTTAACCAGTTACATGTGGAGCAGGTTTGTAGCACATCAAGCTGGAGCTTAATGGCTCATTAGAAAGGAGCTGGATTAACACTCATTAAACATTAAAGCAAACCCAGGTCAAACCTGGGTGAAGGGAAAGCAGCTTGCCCAAAGCACTCCCCGCTTAAAGTCACCACCTCTGATGTAAATCCACCTTGGTCACCAGCCAGTTCCCAGCCCCGAGGTCACACACATCCCTGCCCCAGGGATGTCACACTCAGGAGCAGCCCCAGAGAGCTCGGCCAACATCCACTCCCAAAATTATTCCAGAGCTGGAAAAGGACAACCCCAGGGCAAGATTTTTCCATTAGATCCCAGCAGAATTCCCAGGCTGAGCTGCTGCTGGTGCCAGGCCAGGCTTTAGGAGTTTCTCAGGGTGGCACTCGTGTGTTGGTGCCTTAGGATTTGAGCTTTTCTATTTTATATATTTGTTATTCTGCAGTTCTTTAGTGCAGAGCTCCAAACTCCACGTGCAGTGTGAGCTGCTGCTTTCCCATTTGGGGCAGACACAACAATTCCTCTCCAGGCCTGGCAATCAAGGACACCTCACTGCCTCAGCCCTCAAGAGTCGTGAACAAAAGTGAGCTGAGGGGAGCAAACTTGGGGTAAAATTACTTTATTAGCTGAAGCTATAATTGAAAGTTGAACCCCCAATATGCAAATGGACCAAACTTATAAAAGTGTGATGACTTTTATAATGGATGACTGCTTACAAAGTCTCACATTTTTATAATTTCTGGTTCATTTGCATATTGTAGCTGTGAAAAATGCGTATTTTATGATTGGCTTTTTGCAAATATTACAATGAATATTATATGTGCAATGTTAGAAAGTTGTGCTGTATTAATTCTATTAATTAGTCTGTTAAATATAGTTTTAGGTTACAACATAATGTTGAAATGGAAGCTCTGCAATGTGGGATTTTTTTACTAACTCAAGGAAGGGATGAGATGATCAAGAAATTCTTCACACAGAGATGTCAGCACAGGACAAAGAGTTTCTGTCTCCTTATCAGAAAAGACAAACATTTTTCCACCTTCTCTCCATCTTTATGGAACCACCAAGATTAAGGGGAAGAAGTTGACAAAACCCAGAAAAGTTCTTAATTTGCAAGGGATTTATGCATCATGTATGAGATATATGAATATGCAACAGGCTGTTGCTTTTAAGGTTATTCCTTTGTTCACAAGTCATGTTTGTCATGACTGAGTGTCCGAGAGCATCCGGACATCCGTAATTCTTTACGTTTTATTGCCTTGTAACTGTCCTAACTCTAAACTTTATTACTCTAATTGTATTACTATTTTTATAACCATTTTATTATTATTAAACTTTTAAAATTTTAAAAGCCAAGTGATTGGCGTTTTTCACAGGAGTTCATTGTCCAATTACACCTTTAGGTAATGAAATCCCAATGTGCTTGCTTTTCTCTCTCCAGCCTGTGTTTCTCTTGGGGCTGAGATTTGGATGATTTGTCCTGGGTCCCCAGCTGGAGAAGGAATTGTTTTGTCTTCTACTCTGTGAAGAGAGCTCACCATGCTCTGAAACAAAGCTCAGAACTGCACACTAAAGCAGAACAGAGTGCGAAAAATATAAAAGCCAAAAGTTGGGGCACTGTGGGAGTCCAGGGCTTCCCTCTGTCTGCCCTGGGACCCTGGCAGGGGTCAGGAACCCCCCTGGACAGAGCCCCCAGAGACACTGGCTGTGATCTCTGTCCATGGAAAAGAGTTTTCAATCTTACAGGATGAATTACCAGCTCTGAGTGTTTGATATAAGCAATAATTAAGCGTGGCACGGGTGCAAAAGTAAAATTTAGGATTCTAGATGAGGGGTCCAAAGGGGACAAGATGGAGGAAATTGGGTGTGCCTTGTCCTTTTTCTCCTTCTTCATGCCCTCCATATCTCACTGTGGTGTTGGCATTTTTCTGTTGGTTCAGGCTGGGGACACACTGTCCAACGTAGGTGACAGATATTGGCACGTTCTTGTAAATGCAGCCCAGGGAGTTTCTGGTATTTAATGTTTGTCACATCCCACTGAGGGCAGAGCCCCACACGCTGCCCTGCAGGACAGAGCTGGGCAGGGCAGCAGAACATGTGAGAGATCAACAGAATAAACAACCTGGAAACCAGCACAGACCAATTATGGCTTCTGCTTTGGCAGCGGGGCAGAAAGACAGAGACATTTTACAATCTCGGATCATCAATAGCTCAGAGTCAGGGCCCCGGCAGCGCTCACCAGTGCACTCGGGGCTGGTCCCGGTCCAGGTGCCGTTGACGGTGCAGTGCCTGCTCAGCACCCCTGTGGAATAAAACCCTTCCCTGCACTGGTAGATGATGGAGCTGGAGAACACCAGGCCGTCGTTGAAGATCACCCTGGCGTTGCTGGGCGTCCCGGGATTCCCGCAGGAGATCACTGCCGAGGGAAGCGGCCGAGGGAGAGTGAGCCAGGGAACGCAAACAACGCCCCACCGCTCCAGGTGCTCCGCCTGCATCGCCTGGCCCTAGCAAAGGCAGGTTCTGGGGACACCAGAGCCCTTCTGGGGACATCAGAACACTTCTGGGGACTTGAGAACACTTCTGGGGACACCAGAGCTGTACTGGGAACATTAGAACACTTCTGGGGACACCAGAGCCCTTCTGGGGACATCAGAACCATTCTGGGGATATGAAAACACTTCTGAGGACACCAGAACCATTCTGGAGACACCAGAGTCATTCTGGGGACATGAGAACACTTCTTGGGACACCAGAACACTTCTGGGAACACCAGAGCTGTACTGGGGACACCAGAACACTTCTGGGGATATCAGAGCAGTCCTGGGGATAGCAGAGGAATTCTGGGGACACTGGAGCAGTCCTGGCGACACAGGAGGAGTTCCAGGGACATCAAAGGAATTCTGGGGACACTGGGGCAACTCTGGGGGCTCCAGGGCTGCTCTGCAGACATCAGAGCAATCCTGGGGACACTGGGGCAGTCCTGGGGACATAGGAGAACTTCTGGGGACATCAAAGGAATTCTGGGGACATCAAAAGAATCCTGGGGACACTGGGGCAGTCCTGGAGACACAGGAGGAGTTCTGGGGACATCGGGGTAACTCTGGGGACTCCAGGGCTGCTGTGGGGACACCAGGGCAGTCCTGGGGACACCGGGGCCATCCTGGGGACAGCAGAGCAATCCTGGGGACACCGGGGCAGCTCTGGGGACACCCAAACAGCTCTGGGGACATCAGAGCAATTCTGGGGAGATCAGAGCAGTCCCAGGGACACCGGGGCAGTCCCGTGGACACTGAGGCACAGGAGTACCTTCGCATTCCGGCTGCGTGCCGCTCCAGGAGCCGTTGGCGTGGCAGGTCCTCTCGGAGGAGCCCCGCAGGGTGTAGCCGGGCTCGCAGCTGAACCTCACCACGCTGCCCACGTCGAAGGCGTCCCCCAGCCCAATCCCGTGGGAAGGGATCCCGGGGTCGCCGCACACGCCCTGGCTGCCCCCTGCCCGGGGAGAGCACAGCGTCACCAGAGCCACCAGGGCACGGTGGCTCGTGTCCCTTGTCCCCCTCATGGGGAATTCCACCCCCAGCAGAGCAGTGGAATTCCAAATTGGGCATTTCCCGGTTCCAACAGCCCCTCGGTTTTGAGCTGGATGCAAAGGCGGCCACAATTCCTGAATGCCAAGGTGGAGCCTCCAGCCCCAGGGATGTTTCCCCTCCACAAGGAATTCCCACGTGCTCCAAGCCAGCCCTGAGCCGCCAGAACTCAGGGAACGAGGAGGGGCTGGAGCGCGGGAGGGAGGGAAAAGGGAAAGGGGAAGGGTTGGGGAAGTTCAGGGAAGGGAAGGTGATGATGGGTGGAAGATGATGACCATGGCTGGGTGACCACGAAGGGGTGACCACGAACTGATGACCACAAACTGGTGACCATGAACAGGTGACCATGAATGGATGACCATGGCTGAGTGACCATAAATGAGTGACCATGGCTGGGTGACCATAAATGGATGACCATGGCTGGGTGACCATGGCTAGCTGACTATGAATGGGTGACCATGAATGGGTGACCATGAACGGGTGACCATGAACAGGTGACCATGGCTAGCTGACCATAGCTGGGTAACATAAATGGGTGACCATGAACAATTGACCATAAATGGATGACCATGGCTAGCTGACCATGAACAGATGACCATGGCTGGGTGACCATAAATGGGTGAGCACAAATGGGTGACTATGGCTAGCTGACCATGGCTGGTTGACCATAAATGGGTGACCATGAACGAGTGACCATGAACAAGTGACCACGGCTGGGTGACCAC